GTATAACACCTAAACATCCAGCATACAACTGTACAACAACCAAACATCCAGCAGACAACTGTACAACAACCAAACATCCAGCAGACAACTGTACAACAACCAAACATCCAGCATACAACTGTACAACAACCAAACATCCAGCATACAACTGTACAACAACCAAACATCCAGCATACAACTGTACAACACCCAGACTGAAGAACCAGGATCCAGGCGTGGAGCAGGGTCAGGCTCTCAGGTTAACGTTAGGGTTATCAGCAGCAGAGCATCCGTTGAAGCCTCAGCTCAGCCTCAGTGTGTCGCCTGATTAGACAAAGTTAGGTGGAATAAGAGCTGCTGTGCTCTGATAAGACACACAAATACCAGCAGCTCCATCCACACGTGTCACAAGAAGAAGGTCAGAGGTGACAACATGGTTTCATGGCTCAGGTTTGTCTGAACTCAGTCTTGTTACACATTTAACTCCATCTACCTGGTAATGAAATCATTAATTATTGGTTAGGCACCAGCTTTACTTCACAGGACGTCAGACTTYAGGTGTGAAGAATAATAACATTAAGGATTGAGACGCTCAGTCTGATTGGACCGTTTAGAGATGAAGAGGAGGGAAGGAAGGCCTCTTCTAAACGGTCTGAATTATTCATTCAGATCAAGTGAACGAGGAAATCAGGTAAAGATTCATTTTATTCAGTTTATCTCAAGTTTCAGTTCACAAAAAACTTCATCCTGTGAGGATTGTGTGTCTGTTGTTGTGTGTTTTCTGTCTGTCTCCGCCTCTCATCTCTCCTCAGTTTGTTTTCCTGCCATTTGTCTGCTAACCTGTCTCACCTGTCCAATCCCATCCCCAGGTGTTTKTCATTTCCTCACTGGATCATTGCTTGGCTTTGTCCAACTGTCGCTTTGTTTCCTGTGTTTCTGTTTATTTCTGCCCTGTCAGGGTTTTTATTTACTTTAAATAAATGTTGTATTAATAAACCTCACCTCCGTCATTCATTCATTCATTCATTCATTCATTCATTCATTCATCTAGTTTCTTCATCTGAACCGGTCGGGTTGTGAAGGCAACAGGTCCAGGAGGAAAACCAAGACTTTCCTCTTCAGCTTCTTCAGGGGCATCACAGGGGTTCTGCTTCTGTCCCAGGTCTGCTCCCAGTGGGTCAGAACCTCCAGAGGGATCCTGATCATGTAACTGAACCACCTCAGCTGACTGTTTAACGAGGAGGAGCAGCAGATCCACTCCAAGCTCAGCTGGCTGATGGACCTCACCTTGATTCTAACGCTGAACCCAGACACCCTACAGAAGAAGCCAGTTTCAGACCCAGGATAAGGTTCCTGGTTCCTGGTTCTTTCCAAATCAAACACTATTTTCTCCCAGACTGCTCCCTGAGATTCTGTTCATGAACACCACAAACACTGATGTGCCACAAAAGTGAAACATGCAGCAGGAAATAAAGACTGGTCTTGGTCCAGTAATGCAGACACAGCTCTGTTTTATTCTTCAGGTCCTGAAGAGTCCTTAAAGAGTTCTAGAGACAGAAGCAGCGGTTCAGAGTAAAAGTCTGAAAGGTTGTCGTGACAGAATCAACGGTTCAAAGTACCAAAGTGCCTGTGACACCGTCTGTGTGTCAGGTATTGCTTCATTACACCCTGACCGTCTTCAGAGGTATTTTCAGCTGTTCCTGGAACACTTTGCAGAAGTGAAACTGCTGATGAAGTGGCCTTAATGTTGACTCACAAGACCTCTGTTCTGCACCGCAACCTGCAGCCGGACACCAGCACCGGCAGCAGCCCAGCAGCAGCAGAAGAAAAGCACTGTCCTCAGCACTTCCTCAGCTGACACCAACTCACCAACTAAYGGCCACTGGACCAGTTGGTTTAAAGGGACGAGTTCTTAATAAACAACTTATGTCCAATTTAAACAGCCGAAAACAAACAAACTCTCCTGAGAACCATCTAACATCTGACAACAAGGTTTTCTACCTGTGAAACCAGGTAAAACCCTGACACACAATCACTGGGATGCTCCCTGAGTCAGAACCTAACTCCCTTCAAACTGACCCGTCTACCAGAATCCCACCCTGACCAGGGAACCACACCAGTACTTTTAATGTGGTAACTATTCATAAACTAGTTAATGAATGTATTCATATTATTTAATTAGTTAAGAATAAAAGACTTGTGTGGTTATATTGGGTACACAGTAGTTTCTGTGTTTTAAATGGCTCACTGTGATGCTCCTGTCAGTTTAYTTCCCTGGACCATCACCTCACTGGTTTCTGTAGACCTGAAACAGGTCGACTCTCTGCTGCTGGAAACACCTGTTGGAAGTTACAAATATCAAATTAAGCTGATGATTCCTGACTTCAAACTTTATTAAACCTAAACTCTCAAAGCAATCAGATTCAGCTGTAACTTCTGAAATGTTTTATAGTTTCTGCTGCTGCTCAGAGAGATGAGCTGCGCTGGTCCTGCTCCTTGGTTTGAGTGTGAAGCTGTTGCTGCTGCTCCATGTCCTGACCTCTGCTTGTTTGGTACAACGTCAGGATGAAACAGGAAAGAAGAATGTTTTCATGTCAAATATGTTCCACTGATGTGTATTTTACCACATATCATGTCTCTGTGTGCTGGTCCACGTGTTAAAAGATCAGTCAGTTAATATGTTAGTAGAACAAATGAAGGTCTAACAGACACTTGCTGSCAGAGAAGGAAACTTCCTGAAAACTCAAGTTTCAGCCAAAATCAGCAAAACCTCAGGCTTTCATATCTGAGAAGGAATCGACAAATGGGAAGTATGAGAGCAGAAAAGGAAATAAAAGAGTGTGAGGGCACCACACCAAGGTGTGTGTGTGTGTGTGTGAGTGTGTTCTCAGAAATGGAAGGAGAAGCAACAATGTGGTGACAAGGTCAACATAACTCATAAAAGTATCAGCACATGAGACCAGCGGGAACCAAAGAAAAACAAAAAGAGGAAACTACATCTGAGCGTCGTTTACCTGCACTTACAAAACACTCACAACTATAAACACAACTAACTCCTAACAAACACATAACAAACACAACTAACTCCTAACAGACACATAATAAACACAACTAACTCCTAACAGACACATAACAAACACAACTAACAAACAGATAACTAGGGTTGGGTGGTTTTGGTAAAATAATTAATCATGATTAATTGTAGTGTTTATATAAAAACAAATATTAAGACAATTAATGCACTGGAGTCCCTGGATGCCTGCATGTCTTAGTCACATGACCAATTTCAATCACCTTAAGTAGGAAATATTTGTTCTCTGTACAAATCTGTTCCACACTGTGTCAAAAGTACCGACTTTAGGCTATACATCAATTTTTAAATAGTGTTGATAGACCAAGTAAAACTGGAGTTAAATAAATTACAGAAATCTTTTAAACTATTTGTCATATTTGAAGTGGAGAGGAGCATCGAGTAGACTGATCGGGGAAATCTCCCGTCTGTCTGCCTGGTGGCATTAATTGTATTAACTGTCAAGTGTCAAAAAATAATCTATTAAACTTTTTCTGACAATTAATTTTACATGATATGATTTTGCCCAAGCCTACAGGTAACAGACATAAAACAAACAACTAACACACAATAGACACAACAGACATGTGACTTTACAAAACAAAAGCATAAGATGCTGATCAAACTCAATAACTGATCATCACCAGTAGGACCAACTAGATGCACAGCATGTTAACACAACAACAAGGTGCAAATATATCAGCAATTATCTCAAAGTTGTTGAAGTTGAACTGTTGCTGCTTATGAATCTGAGAAGGTTTCTAAACTATCTGGGAACCCATCATTTAACAGAGAAAGATTATTTGCAAGTAAAAAATATTTAAGACAGTTGCCAATGTTCCAATGAGGGATTGTCCCAACTAATTCATCCCAAACATGACAGTTAACCAACAACAAAACAAGACAACAGACAATAATCAGTGCACTGCAACAATCCAGTTACAGTCCAGAATGTCAACATGATTGAAGTGCAGTAATGGGACCTTCACACAGCTCAGTAGAAACTTTAATGAACTGAAGCAATGTTAGAAAGAAGAGTGGGACATCATCATCATTCTGGTTGTCCAGATTGTGGAAAGTCATGCAGCCCTTAACAAAGAAACATATGTGCTTAGTCAGAAAACCAGAGGAACAAAGGACAAGGACCCTTGTCTTTAGTGTGTCTCCATCAGTGAGCAGCCACAACCTGGACTGGAGTCCAAAGTGCCGGTGCACAGGGGCAGTGTGAGTTCAAAACATGAGCAGTCTTTGAGGACATTGTGTCTTTTGTTAACTGCAGTGGACTGACAGAGTTGGGGTTACAGTGCAGACACATCAGCCTCTCAATGAATTCTCTTCTGCTCTGCTGCACGTACACATAAGTCAGATGACAATTATTGTCTGGTATCGCTTGGATCAATTTGCATTTAACCCAGATTTGAGAAGCAAAGAGGATTGTGGCATGTCGAGAGAAATGGGGACAGGCAGCCTTCTTCTCTGTGCAGCTCCTTCAGCTCAGTCATAAATCACCATCTGACATTCAGTCCGCCAGACATCCAGACAATGAAGGGACGACATAAAGACGCCCCCTCCCAGACCCCCCAGGGCACGCTGTGTTCACTGGGTCACCCAGTTCTTCCTCCTGGGGGCAGGAGAACTTTTCCCATGCTCCTTAAGATGGGCAAGAAGGGGGCTGGTCTGTCTGATGAGATGATTAGTTTCAGGTGAAGTGCTTTTCATGACAAATGGCAAAACTCCCAGTCTAACAGTAACACCTCACTGCTAGCTTAGCATCTAGCTTACAACAAAGACTGTGTCTCAGTTCAGGGGCTGCATCCTTCAAAGTCTACGTTTGTCAGCTGCTTCCATTACTGCCTCGTGCCGAACGCAGTCCCAGTTCATGCAATCCTTCTCATGGTGCCCACAAAACCCAACAAAGGAAGGATTCATCTGAGGATCCATCCTGGCTGAAGATATTCCAGGATTAATAAAGAATAAAGTATTAACAAAGTATTAGTAAAGGATATTCCAGACTCATTGCACTATCAGCAAAAGAAACAGGAAAACAAAAATGGCTGATTTTTTTACCACGATGGCATAGTTTGGAAACTTATCTGAAGAATTTGTTTTTAAATGTAAGTTTAGCAACTTAGCTGATGGAATTTATGCTGCAATGAGTTGTTAAATAATTTTTTATTTATTTATTTGCGTGTTACATTTTTAATTGTGAATTTATTCTTCATGTCCCGATGCATTTTTATTGTGAAGGCCCGTGAGATAAAACATATTGCTTATAGTAAAGGTAGTTCAAACAAACATGTCATCCAAAGACTAGACTGTCTCATTTCAAACCCACTTTATGCAGCCTACATGGACTGTGTGGGGTGTGGCCTCTGTGGCCCACAGTGCAGGCTTAACGACAGTTTGTAATCAGGTTGGTATCATTGATAACTTTAAAGTTTTACCCATGTTTGACTGAAGGGAACTTTTAACCCACAAGTTTCACATACTAGAGATTTTAAACCCACATTTGACTGAAAGAGCCTTTTTAGCCCCGTGTGTAACTAACAGGAAATTTTTTATCCACGTTTGACTAAAAGACGTTTTTTAGCCCACATGTTTGACTGACAGGAGATGTTTTACCCATGTGTTTGATAGGTGGATTTTAAAATAAATGTTTGACTCTTGAAGGTTTAGAACATGTCACTCTATATCTCTGCCTTGGACACTTCATCACTGGTTTTTAACCTGCACTACTCCAAATATATTATCTGCTCTGATTACTGTATTGACCTGGTGTACATATGTTTTATATTTTCTACTTTTCCTTTATCCTTTGTATTTTCTTTATTTGTTATATTTAATACTTATTGCACTTTTACACCAACACAAATTCCTCAACTGTGAATCCTGTTCACTGAAAACAGCAATAAACCTGATTCTGACAGGAGATTTTTGACCMATTTGACTGACAGGATTCAGACATTTTCACAATGAGTTATTGATCGACCCGGTTTCCCTGTTAGACCTTCATTCATGTGTGAACTGAGCCAGACTTTACCATGTGTGTCCCTTCGATCCTTCCACCGACCCAAAACTGATCAGAACACACTGATCACATCCTGATAACGTGCGGCATACAGTAAACACACACACACACACACACACACACACACACACACACACACACACACACACACACACAAATGAGGGCTATTGACTCGGATCCCTTGGAAGCAGCCACAAAGCGGGCCTTTCAGGTTCATCTGGACTGATGTAATAAAATTGACACATGCAGTGGGCTGGATTCTGGGCCGCCTCGTACCTAAACTAACATTTCCAAAGCTCTGTCACCTCCCCTCACAGCAAACGAATCAATTACAGAGCACGATAATCCCGTTAGGGGCCACATGAATGCAGAGCTCGCCGCCGGCAGGTGCTGGCAGGCTGAACGAGCTTATTGGAGTGGGCCATATCAAAGCTGGGGCTTTATGAGCCACATCAGAACCTCTGCTCAGCTGCTGTGCTGGCTGCCACAGCCTGCACAGGCCAACAAACAAACATCACTCCACAGAGCTGAAGAAGAACCATGTTGTAGAAAGATCTT